AATCAAAGCAATTTAATGAGGGCTGGAGAAATGAGTAAAGTCACTGGGACCACAAAATCACCCACACAAGCAGTTTGTTTAAATTAGGAAATTAGCTGTGGGTAAGTGAGGACGGTCCAGTGCAGGACTGAGACCCAGAAAGGATTTGGAGAGGCTGTGAAACCAGTTCTCCAGCATCTGCTATCAAAATCACCAGCAGGCAGGAAGGCTCTGTAGCAGTTGAGACATCACAGAAAATTAGCACTGGCTCTGCCACTCCAGCACACTCCTGATCTCACCCAGTCAGTGCTCCAAAACACACCAGCTTGGTGATTAACTGGTGGATTCAATCAACAATGAAATCAACATCACTGTAAGCACTTCAGGTGGTCAGCTTTGGTGCTCTCAGGTGTGTTTGTCACAGGCAAATCCTCTGAAAATGAGGGAAGTTCTCAGTGAATTTACATGGAAACCACTAAATGTAAAAAGGTATTGTCACGGTGACTTGGCCAACAGTGTCAGCTACCTGGGTCTGTAGAGAAATCTCCCAAAAAAATCAAATTAGCTAAAGGTACAAGCTGTACTTGGCCTCCGAGGAAGGAAAAAAAATCATAATTCACTGCAGTGCTGATTCTGTTGCTCAGTCCAAGAGAACCTACAATGATGGCACACTGCAGTTGGACAGTGCTGGGAAAGGCTCCAAATCACACGCGCCTGACACAGAGCGAAGGACACTCAATACTAACAGAGCTAATGCAACTCCCCACGGCTGAGCTTCCACGGGCAGACATCCTCTTTGCAAACATCAATCTAAAAAATATAATATTCTAAAATCTTTTAATGTAAGAGACACTTCAAAAGAGGCAAATGAAAGATGTGAGAAAGCTGAAAAAAAAACCCCTTTTTTAGGAGAATTTTGATTAAGTAATAATTAACTTTCATTAAACAAAAGATTCTAGTTTTCTTGAAGATTTCCAATCTTCATCTCAGAAAATCCCAGGCTACAGAGATGCTTGAATCCTCTGCAAAAGTCATCTTCACCTTTGTCTGTACACAGAAAGCATGGAGCAGACACATCTGACAATCATTGTTCTAATCTGATCAATAAATAAAAACACTGTCACCATGGTTATTTTTAAAAGGGGAGACTTTAGAAGGAAGGAGGAGACAGAGGAGTGGGACACATTAATACTTCCAGATTTTTTTCAGTGCTCATCATTTGTATAAAGATTTGGCAAGTATCAGTAGGCAGACAGGCGCTTGCTAAGTGTTGATTTTGCACATGCCTGTTATTGCCATATCCAGATACCTACATAGTCTTCCAGTGACAGAGTATCCACCCTTCCACTGACATATATCTGAACTGCAACTTGAACAAAGGCTTCATTTTGCACTCTGTAGTCCTGAAAGCTGTAGTTTAAAAATATAGGGCAATATTCTACAGCAATAGAAGAGTTAGCAGTAAACATGCAAAGTTTTGATCCTTTCTTATTAGAAACCAGGTTATAAAGAAGTAGCACAAACTCCAGCTATTCCTGAGGAAACTGAGAAAAAAAAAGCAGCTTCAAGATGTTATCCTCTCAGTTGAGACACACAATCCACTTGAGCAGGAAATGCACACAGATGGGGTGGACAATCAGTCCCAGATGTACCGATGACAAGCTGCTGACATTTCAGAATTTCCCTTTGAATAGCAGGTGCTGGCTGAATACACAGCAAGGCTAGAGCGTAGAGAAAGAGCTTTTCCGAAGTCATTGCCTTGAATCACTGCATAGCAGCGCTGCAGGAGACTGACTTTGAGCTGGTACATAACTTGGTGCCAACAGTAAGTGGCAAAGAACAGAAACACACCCTCCCCCAACAATGCAAACATCTTTCTCAAAAACCACTTCAGATCATTTTAGATCTGGAGAGATTCATTATTATCAAAGCAAGAAGACTGCAACAGATCTGGCTGGGAAGGCCCACCTGGCCAGCACATGGTCCAGAAAGAAAACTACTTCAACACACATAGTTTCTGCCAGGTCGATTTAGAAGGGCCCCTTGAGTCATCTAGGAATCTCACATCACTTGCACCCACAACACATTATTCCTTTTTGAAGTGGCAAATTTATACTTACATTTATCCCAATCTTCATAAATATTTGCAAAGGGTAAAATCTGTAATGTTTTCCACACAACAAAGCAACTTTTGGTGTCTGCTCTTTGTTGCTTCTTTATTAAAGGAAATGGGATGGACCATTCTCCTGTTTTCAGTGATCTCTCCTCTAATACAAGCAGGAGCTGTCCTTACAATCACAATAATAAAACCCCTCTTTGCAGCTTCATTGACCAGTCCCTTCTCAGAATGGTTTGGAGCAGGGGGAGAGAACAGGGAAAACATCGACTTGAGGAAAAGAATAAGAGGCTGCTACCTAAACTAAAAACTTAATTGCTCTGTGCAGCTTTCTGCTAGTCCTGCTTTCCCAGAGGTTTCACAGTGTCATCAGCAAAACAAACCCAAGCCTGTGAAGAAGGACAGTGTCATATAAAGGCATGTTTGAAAGGCAGATGCAGCTTGCTCACCTCAGATTTGGGGGACAGGACCTTTATGAGCTTCTCATAAGCACAAGAGGAGAATTCACCCACTTTCTTATGCTGCCACTGTGATGGTGCTGTGAGTGGGGAGGAAGGTACCTGTGGCGAAGGAGCAGCAGCTGGCCCTTGCTATGCTACTCAGTATCACGCAGGGAATTCACGCTGGAGTCCTGGGAGCTTGCTCCCATGCAGTGCCAAGAGTCCTCAGTTCTCACACTTAGAATCTGACTGGATTCCTCCTCCTCCTCTTTTGCTTCTCCTTTTCCTTTAATATGCCTTCTCTTCACTTTCACTGGCCCATACAAGAATGTTACAGATGTGTGCCTTTTTCTCTGTGATCACATACACACAAGAACATCCCTTTTTTTACCTGTTTTCATATAACTGCATGTATCTGCCTCATCCCTATTTTCATATGACTGTGTATATCTGCCTCATCCCTACCTCCAGCACTGAACCAGTATCAGTAAACATCTCACATGGTCAGACCACAAAATACCAAGGAACACAAATCAGCCTTTGATCTCACCACTTTCTTCCCCAGTTGGAGCACTTGTGCCTGCATTTGCACATATGTATGTGACCACAAACATATACACACAGCTCAAGATCCTCTTGAATGCAGCCTCTGAACCTGGCATGAGGCTCTGACAGTGGGAAAGGCCTGTGCCACTGGGTCAAGAGCTCAATCATTATCTGTTAGTGTGCTTAATCATCTCTCTTTTACAGAATTACTCCATCCTCGGTATCTCCTCTGACATCTCCTCTGCTGTTCTGTCCTCCAACGCCATTTACTGGACCCAAGTCAGCAGTCTAAGAACTCTTCTTGCTCCCTTTACACCTTGAGCAAAGCACATGGGTACAAAGGAAAATAGTGATACACAGATCCACCATCCCAGAAAACAGACCAGCCTCCTATCTAGGTGAAATGTGCCTCTCACCAAGATCCACTCTGATGAAGAAATCTTTACACAAGAGTGAAACAGAAAAAAAAACACCAGACCTGAAAGGTGACCCTCTTTTTAGTTAAAATGGTCCAAACTAAGGCTCAATTAAAGCCTCTTCATTTCTGGGCAGAAAGAAACAGAAACATTTATCTTAGGCACAGACACAAGCAGGCAATCTTGGTTTTGCTGATACTTAAAATGATCAAGAAAGGATTGACAGCATCTCTAACATTCCCTTTTCTCCCCATAGTAATCCTTCTTTTGGAAACAAGAAAGTTAACATTTGAAAACTGAGATTTACAATTCAGAAAAATAAGCATCTGATACAAGAAGAAAGAACGAGGGCACAGGATTTCCATTGCTCAGATCAAAATCACACAATACGATTATTCTGCCAGCTCCTGAAAAAAAGACAAACCCCCACAAACCGTATTAGATAAAAACATCAGCAGTGTTTCCTCTCCATCTGCAGAATAACAACTCCAGTCCCTTTGACCCAAGCTGAGGTTTGCGTGCCCTAGTAATTCTGGCACATGAGGAAAACGAGCAGTTAGGCCTTATCTAAATCAGAGATAATTACACTGAAAAAGCATCATATCAGTACAGATCAGCAGCACAGGTTTTCATTTACTCTCAGTTACAGCACAAAAGTATCACATCCCCTCTCACAATGTTACACCTGGCTCAGACATTGCAGAGAGGGAAAGAAGCTGCTTAAGGAGGAAAAGTGAAAAATTGCTCCAAACCAGGATAAAGACGATTATCTTGAATGGCCTGCCACTGCTTTTTCAGTTATCTTTGTTTTCATCGTCATCCTTGTTTTACTTTGTAAAGATTCCAATGATGATAACAAAAGAAGTAGGTTGATTCCTATCACACACTTCAGGAAAAAAAAAAAGATACAAGCAGATATACCTGATCTTCAAAGAAATCATGACAAGGGCTGTTTGCTGACCCAGCAAACACAGCCTGAGTAGAAACATTTACTGCGAAAAAAAGAAAAAAGGCATAAAACAAAACAGAAAAACAGCCATGAGATAAAAGTGCCTGTATCTGTGTCACTGTCATCAAAGTGTCTCACAGAATCCTTGCCATAACAGACTTACTCTTTTTGTCAGGATTTATTTCTCCTAACACATACTTCTTATATTAAGCATGGAGTAAGGAAACGAGGAGTTAAGGCCTCAGAATTAAACAGTTTAGTCTTGGAACATTGTTTTCTCGATATGACATGTCACCCAGTCTGGCTAGAGTTGCAGTAATTTAGAATAAATATGTGCAGTTGTGAACTAATTAGAATTTATGGGGTGTTGTGCCCCCCAGTGATGAGGAGAAGAAAATTTAAAATTAATAGAAGCCCAAATCTAATATCTTTGTTTCTGGTGACATTTCTCTTAAAACAGAGAGTTATCTACACATTGGCTTTACTTTCCCCAGGCAAAATTCATTTTAGATCATTCCCTACCTTCCCATTAGATTCACGCAACGCTGAAAATCTCTGGTTTTTTAGTTTTTATTATTTCATTTAAACATTAGGTTTTGGGCAAGATAGGAAAAGAGCAGCACCTTTTAAAAAAAACCTGATGTGTGTTATATAGGACAAACAGGTGAGATTTAAAAAAAGTTAAGTTTATATATGTACATATACACACATACACTAAACCAAATTAAAACCAAAAAAACTTGTGAGGAGGTCATTTTCAACAGGAGAGAAGAAAGCCTTATTTCACAGCAAGCAAAAGCACCACAAGTTAAGATTAGAGTGCACAATCACATGTAGTGCAGATACCAAACTAGCCTGGGTCCTGGAAGCAGTGTAGCTAGAGCAGCACAGAGCTCCACAAGGGTCGTCTTATCCCACTCCTTGGCAGAAGCAAGTGCAGAGCCCGCACTCAGGGGGGTGTGCTGTGCAGGCACTCCCACAGCTGGCTGCTCTGCCTCCATCAGTTTTGGCAGACGCCACAAGATGTAGCAAACCAGTGAGGAGACCCAGAGCTAAGCTACAGACTGACTTAGCTACAGTATTTCCGTAACGGAGGTTTCTGAGTTCCCCCATGTCTCTTGGGTGCTCCCTTGTAGGTACTGCCTGCTTGGGTCACACAGCAGACAGCTCCTGATTATTTATTACTTGTGCACTGAAGTGGCCATTCTTGCCTACCTGCACCCTTTCCTATCTCTCTTTCACCCCACAACACCACTTCTATTTCCTCCAGGCTGACAGGGTAATAAAATTAGGAAGGGGCATGTACACCTAACTAAGGGGAATTGTCAACAACCAATGAAGCTTAAAAAATAATAGCAATTCTTAAAAAAACCCAATTAAAAAACCTGTTCAAGTTCTGCAGACTTCTGGCAGAGTCTGGTAATTTAGCCCAGAGGTCTTTGTCTTCAGGGCCCACAGGCTAAATTGTCTCCACTGGCAAGAAGCATGCAGTACACGATAAAATTCTGACTAAAAGAAAAAAGTAGTACAGGTTGGGAGGAGAGGAGGCTCTAACATGGAAACCCCAAAGTGCGGCAGCAGCACTTATGCTACCCGGTACGCTTTCAAGAGGGTGAACTCCTTCCTGTTGGTGCGAGCTGCCCAGATGAAAAGAGCAGCTGCCATGAACTGCAAAGGTGCCGACACACAGGCGAGGCAGAAGGACCAGCTAAATTCACCCCTCACGTCATCAGGCAGAGGCAGCTTCTTGTGGAGCAGCTCAATCCCAGCTACGTAGCAGCCAACAAGGCCCAGCGTACAAAGCCCTGGGGAAGGAAGCGGCAAAGCACAATGAGCTCACTCCCTGCAGTGCTCTGGTGGGCACAGTGAGCCTTGGGAGGAGGATGGCAGGACAACTACCTGCTAGGAAATGCAGGACTCCAGTGGCAATGGCTGGGTAAAGGCTGCGACAGGCACAGGCACAGAGCCCAATCAGAGCCCCAAAGCACATGAGGCCGATGCTGACAAAGGGCAGGAGAAACTGCAGTCGCCAGAGATCTGAAAGAAACACACAAGACAAGTTTGCTGAAGATGTGCTAGAAACTGATCTTCTCCCACCGTCTTACATTGCCTTCTACCCATGCTGCTGCTTCTTCACGAGATATTCTACATTCATAGCTAAAAAGGACCAAAGGCTCCACTGAAGTAGAAATAACTTAATTTGTTAACTCCCAAATTCCTGTACTGCATTCATGGGCAAAGCCTTTGCTAACACATCTACGTTTTCCTTTCAAACTTTGATCTACTGCCTGTGCTACTGTAAAAATAAATGCAGAGCAAGACACAGCAGCTTTCCTTACTAGTGACTGTATTTGAGAAGCATCTTTTTTTTTTTATTCTACTTGTTTATCTGCCAGGAGTGAAAGACACTTACAAGTCCGATTCAAATCTGTGCCACTATTGTGATTTCCAGGCTCAATGTACTTTTCCATAAACTGATCAGAGAGGGAAAAACTGATGCAGTTTGTAGTCATGTCGTTTTCTGGGAGGAAAAAAAGAAAAAGTTACTATTAGGTGTCTTCCCTTCCCTCTCCCCCTACCTTTCAAATCCTCCTTTCCCAATCATTTGAGCTGGGAAGCTCTTGAACAGTTCTATTGAGAGAAAAAAATTATGTCTCAAAACAGATCTGTAGATGCCTTACTATGATGTAGTTAGCATTCAAACATGCAGCATCTTCAGGCTTACCTGGGTTACCCACAAAACTGTTCCATGCTTGACAGATTGGGAAAGAAATGTGGCATATGATGCTCAACTATGCTGCCACATATTCTTGTGCTCAGAGTCCCTTAAATAAGCTGTGCTTATCTCCATGTGCAGAATATAGTCTCATACTAAACATTTAATTCAAAAATAGGATAGAAAGAACTATTTAAAGAACAGGAAATATTTACTTATTTACACTAAGTTTCTCCCTTTTTACGTCTCAGTTAGATTTTGCTTTGAGAATACTATTGAGCAAAGCTTGTTTAAATGTCTTCCAAAATAAGTATTTTCATGAGAGGAAAAAAAAAAAAGAATTTCACGTTTTTTCTTTAGAAAATGTTGTTGAAGGTACATTTTTAAGAGGGTTCAAAATGAAGGGTTTCACACGCACACAATAAGTATACAAAATCTACTTTGAAGCAATTAAAATAATTGTTTACCACACCTATTTTCCCCCAACCATTGTGAACAATATTACTAGTATTTCAGTCCGTATCCACTCATATCCAAAATGTGCTGATGCAATGGTAGGATATTTGTGAACACGCAAACAAAGTGAATGACTAGCTAAAAGGAGTGAGTTCCTCCTTGACAAAGTGGTATCTTCATTCCACTGCTGGATCCCAGGATCTGTCCTAAAAAGACAGTGACTGGTACAGCAGCTGTAACTGTATCCTAAGCTGGACAGCTGATGCAAAATAAAAATCAAGCTGTGTAAGACTAAATTTAGATCAAGTATGATGTGTCAAATCCAGAATCTGCAGTAGCGACAGCCACAGACCATTTTGCCTGTTGCTCCTTTAAAAATCTGGACTGTCTTTATTAAACAAACAAACAAACAAAACATAAGCTAGCCTTCTGGAGGAATAAAGTGGCACAAATAGGTTCTGAGGAAGTTAGCACATACCACCCCAGGCAAGCTAGGGAAGTGTTAATTGCTCTGGAGATACCTGGTGGGCTGTACCAGTGAGAGTTTTTGGGTACAGTGATGCACCTCCGCCACAGTCCAACCGTGCCGTTGCACCGGAAGAGCGCATCTGTGTAGGTCTTCTCATCTGCATCTTTGCTGAAAAACTCCTCCCAGATGCTTCTACCAGCTTCACTAACATTCTCAGCTGGGGACAGGGTGTGGTATTCGTACCAGAAGTCGGTGCCAATGGAAGCTGCCATGTAGATGGTGGAGATGAGGCTGAGCACACAGGCGATCACCAGTGCTGTGGCAAACCGGTTATCCATCATGGCGCCCTTCCTGCGGCACGGGAAGAGAGTGACAAGTGAGTAACTCTTCTGATGGCACATATAAAGTTATCTTAGCAAGGTCAAACTCATCGCATCATCCCTCTTTTATGCAATGTCCTGTCAGGATACCCATGTCTTCCTCTTCCAACATGCTGGAATCAAAGAACACTGAGCAAATCCACAGTATCGTCCAGCACACATCGGATCTGCAAGTTCAAAGTATGGATAATATCCCAGAGAGTGTGCTCTCCAAGCCACACTGCACTAGTGGCTCTCTCTGAAAGAGCAACTGACAGAGCAACACCAACTCCATCCCCAAAGCAGATGGCACAGCTCGCTGCCATTTGTGATCCTGATTGTAAGGAACGTCAGAGAATCCATCCACAGCGTCCAGGCAGAAGACTTATCTTTCCTTAGGCGATTACCAAGGGTAGAAGTTATTTTTAGCCTGCCACCCCATACGGCTTTCACAGCTTGTGTTTACAGCAAAGATAAGAACCACAGGCATGCCAAAAAAGCTCTTCCAGACTGTTCACTAAAGCCAGCCATGCCAAGGCACTGGAATGCCTTTAGGGAAGCAGAGAAATGCATCTAGGCACTAGAGACAGAACATGAAGGAAGAACTGAAAGACAGATTCGAAGTTATGGTAAATGGTGCACTAATGCCACAATACATACTGTGATATTTCTGAAGAACTACAGCAATGCAGGAGCGTGCCCTGCTCCATGGGAATAAGGTGATAAAACTGAAAGGCCTCCATATGCTCCCACAAGGACTTTGCTCTGCCTCCTTCTATCAGGGGTCATTTATGCCCTCCTTTGCAGGGCTGTGTTCACAAATGGCATGGATTCAGGGTGAAAGGAGGCATGGGAAAATACAAATACCACACACTTATGACAATATTGTGACTTTAATGAGCAAGTGATTGGTAACACATGAAATGTTTTGCAGATAATGCAATGCACCAGACGACTCCTCTCAGATGCCTGTTGTTCTCATGCAGTTCCTGTGCTTGATTAAATTTATGGATTACTATGAATCAGGCTTGATGCACTAGCCAGAAGGGAAAAAAAACAAAACAAATCAATGGAAGCTAACTCGGCAGCTAGGCCGGTGGCAGGAGCTACTATCTAATCAGCTCTTATCCATTGCTTGCTCTACCTCCCTTCTCCCACATACTTTGATCAAAATATTTTGGTCTAGTTTCTTTTCAAGTGACTGAACCGCAAGTGGAAACAGCAAGTGCCTTAAAACTCAACATTCTCAAGGAAAGACGCCAGTCCTCAAGTCAGACCTGCCAGTAAGAAATTCTGAACTAAGAAACGAGGTGCAAATTAAAACAGGGAGTTTCAAAGGCATCAGTGTTTGCTGTTAACAATACCATTCTTTTCCTTTTTCCTTCCATCTGCTCCTCTATTTATCTGAAACTGGCTAACAAGGAGAAATTATGTGTACCCATATCATTCCCTATGCTTCATTTGCATATTAAATGAGGCACACTCTTTGTAATATCCATCTTTGAACTGCATCCTTAGCAACAAGCACGAATAGAACTGATTTTTGGTGAACTGACAAGAAGCACCCATTTAAAATACTGCAAAGTTTGCATACCACAACTGCACTTAAATAATAATCCACAAGCTGTGAACTTTTATAAGCTAACTTAAATACTGAGAGGGAGAACACATCGTATCCAGGCTTATTTATCCAGAAAACACACAATCAAGACCAGACTTGGAAGCAAATTCTCTGTGCAGTGTTTAATTCTTGGTTACGTACTTCCATTCTCTTCTGATATCCCAGCATCTAGCTCAAGGAACACAGGGTGTGGGATAAGCAGGACAGGGAGAGAGCGCATTGCTGCATAGATCTGGCCTCACCAGTCACCCACCACTGAATTTACTGAGGGATCTCCTCCCCTTCACAAACATCTCACGAAGCAAACAGGGCATGTGGCACCTCCAGGGCCGAAGCTCCTGCCCAGCCGAGCTCAGAGCTGAGCAGATTCTCCAGGAACCCACTCTCACAGCAAGCAGCAGAACAGGCTGGAGAGCAGGCTGGTCTGGATTTTCCACTCTATTGCAGTCACATTCACTGCAAGAGGAACCCTCTGCAACAGACTCCTCTCTTTACAAAGTGCTCTCTCTGGGTGGAAGGATCACAAGAACCTACAAGCTCCATCCTCAGAGTGGCGTCTAACAAAAAAGAACGTAAACAGGACATTACTGGGCCACTGATCTGCTGTCACTGCCTCTCCATACAAATGCTTATAATAACAAATGCTCAATAAATGCTTATAATAACAAAGCCCTATCAACTTTGTGCCTAACATACAGAAAGAAAAGAACTGACTCAAAAATCTTACTTTCAGATACAAATCCCTGCTGCCAGGTGCAGAACACTGCTGCTGGAAATGCCCCTATCAGACCACCATTAAAGCACGACCACATCCTTCTGACCAGTCTCCTCTGTGCTGGCATACTGTGGACTTGGCAGAGCCGATGCCAGTTGGCAACCAAGAACAGATCATAAGCAAAATGAAGGGTTAATCACCAAACAGTAAATTAAAGCACTGCCCAGTGTTCATTATTCACTTGCTAAAAGGGATGTGGCAATCTACTGACGTTCAATCCCTGTAATGTAACTCCAGGCCCAGGCAGAGAGCAGCTAATGGGGCTACAGACCCCAAAATCTAGTGGGTGGTTTCGTGTGGCATGCGTCCCAAAAAACACATGCAGATTTTCAGTATGGACAAGACAGTGCAAAGGCATGAGCACACCCCCAATTCCTTACAACAAAGGTCCCCTCAATGTTTCTGCCTAACATTTCAACTGCTTACAGAAAAGATTAAGAACTCCAAACACTTCAGGCAAATTTTGAACTAGTTTTTCCTGCCACAGTCTATGTAGTAGACTTGACTACCCTGCCCATTCACTGTGTATATCCAGTGCATCTTCATGTACAGCAGACACAATCCCACTTAAACGAAGTGTCCTTTTAAAAGGCAGAACCCCCTGCCCAGCCCCAGGCAGAGCTCAATGGCAGTCGCAAACACAGTCAGTAAGAAACAGTTACCAGAGAAGACCATGAAGAAGGACACTGCACGTTCACAGGATTATGCCACACTTTGCAAAAGGTTCTGTACAGAACAATGTGTAGGTGGTGCTTTAGAATAAACTTACTTACGAAAAAATAACATTACTGCCAAAGATGACATGAATTATAAAGACATTAAGATTGATTACAAATAAAAATATTTTGTCTTTACAGGCTGTCAGCAAGACCCTTCATTGTTTTACAGAAGGTTTGTTCATATAGCGCTGCCAGCACATTTTACTCTAACAGCAGAGGCTATTTCAAACAAGTCACGGCTGCAACTAAGCTATACAACGAATCTAAGACAACATAAGGCAGTTGTAAACAGGCAGAAGTGCTTCACATGATATCGTAACTATTACAGAAGCAAGACGTAAAAATTGTAAAAGTCCACCTCACAAAGAGAAGGCAAAGGCCAAACCGGCAGCAACATTCAAAGGAATGACTGGATGCACGCACTTCGGGGGGGGGGGAACAAAGGGGGCAAGTCAGTAGAGCTGAAAGAGAAAAAATATGGAACAGAACAAAAACAAGTATTCTGGCAAAAAATCAACTTAAGACTGAAGAATGGACAGCTTTTGTAAGAAGTTACTGTACCATGGCAGAAGGGAATACAAAAACATGAAGATTTTTATCTTGTTACTGTGGTCACTCCTTTCAGCCAACAGTGGGCCACCACATTTAAAAATCTCCTGTTACGTGACATCGCCAAAGAGGGAGGCTGCGTCCACTGGCATTCTCTCGGGAAACATGCTTGCAATCTGACTGCTCTTTAGGAAAAGGGATTAGGGAGAAGGCCTACAAGAAGGTGTAAATACGGTGAGAGGGCTGGCAACAGCACCGAACAGGATCATCCTTTTCATATGGGCAACGGAAGGTTAGGAAAGATTGTTACCAAACACTTTTTTACCTTCGGCGGTCCTCAGGAGTCCCTCAGGACACGCAGCTCCAATGATTCCAGGTGGCTTCAGAGGCAAAGCGTTGGTTGTAACCTGTGGCCAGCAGAGAGCACGAAACGCAAACTTCCCCTCTGCCCCGACTGTGCCATTCATTCAGCTCCTTCCACACCACCAGCTCACAACAAGTGATCTAGAAGCAGAGAGCAAACCGAATTGTTTGGAGACAATTACTTAACTCCGAAATTACTTAACGGACACCTCTCAGTGCTATTCATTAAGGAAAAAAATATGAAGGGGAGGGAAAAATGACTCGAAAAGCTCTAGGGTTTTTCACCACCTGCTGCACCAGGGCCAGCCCAGCGCAGGGCCGGGCTGGCCGGGCACCTCCACTGGGCGCGACCACCCCCGGGGGCTCGGGCCTCACAGGCGACAGCCCCGCGCGGGGGGGCGGCAGCCGCCGGCTGGCAGCCAACGCGAGGGAAGCGCCCCGATCCCCGACCCCTCTGCCCCGTCCCACCGCCAGGAACAGCCCCGCTCCCAGAACCCACCGGCCGCCGCCGCCGCCTCCGCCTCGCACCCCCGGCCCGGCCCAGCCCGGCCCCGCTTCCGCCCGCCACGCCCGCCCGCGCGGGGCACCCTGGGCCATGTAGTTCTGCCGCCCCCTTCCGGAGGTGCCGGGCGGCGGCTCCACCACCGCGCCCGGCAGCCCATTCCCACATCCAGCCCCTCTTCTGTGGAGAAATTCCTCCTCGTGTCCGTCGTAAACCTCTTCAGGTGCAGCCTGGGGCTATGTCTTCTTGTTCTGTCGCTAGTTACCTGGGAGAAGAGGTCGACCCCCACCTGGCTACAGCCTCCTTTCTATTTATTTCTATTTTGCTTGAGTGCTTGTAAAAAAAGGAAGGACTTGGGAAAACACCAAGTAAAGGAAAAAAAAAAAGAAATTCATTAAAAATTGCAAAAATTTGTCAACACTGGTTCCACGCCCCAAACTGGACATTTCCCTGGTACATGAACCCACTCGAATTGCAAGAGGACTCTTAAAAGTGTTTAACAACTCCCCTGGACGAGAGATCACCCCACCCAGTTCTGATTTTACAAACCACCAAACTAGCAAACAAATACTCAGAATAAAACAGAAATATCCCAGGTTTTCATGCCACTGAGGACCTTCTGGGGAATTATCCCAACCAACTCCTCCATCAGAACAGCGAGGAAGCGTTTTTGAAGCAATGTAAGAAGTTAGAATGGCAAAGGTGAAAGCGGTGATAGAAGAAACTTCTCTGACTTGGTGCAAAAAAAGATTTTTTAATTTAAAAAAAAGTACTAGAAGTAATATTATACTAAAGAAACCTCTGTCTATACACCCCACCTTTCCAGACCAAGGAACTGTCTCACCAACACCTCATAATGTAACTGTCTGCAAGGATGTATTTTGGGGTCTGACTGGGGTTTATTCTAGACTCCAAAATACTTACCGTCTTTATAGAGGGCCTGGAAGAAAGCAGAGCATTGTTGATAAACCTCACAGATGACACAAGGCCTGAGGGATGGGTAAATAATGATATGGAGAGGGCACTGGTACAGGGTGACCTGATCATTTTGCAGCTGGGGCAAGCAAACATGCATTTCAATAAGGTCAGCGATGAGCTCATTAATTTAAAAGCAACGACTGGAGGCTCACTGACATGAGACTTTATCCTGGGAAGCACAAAATGAAAAGGAAAAATGTTGGTGAATTACCAGCTGCCAAGATAGTGCTGTGGCCAAAACCCCCCTAACTTTCCTGCAAACTCAGATGTATAAACTGAGAAATAACAGGGAGGAAAGAAGTTGTATCACATCTGGAGTTGCTGGTGGGTGCTGAAATAGCATGTCTAGTTTTAACATGTTGATAAAGTAGAGATAAACCTAAAAAGGTATGTGAAAATCACTGAGCAATTAGAAAACCTCTCTCAGTGAAATATATCACAGAAGGTCAGTCAATTTAATTTATAGAAGAGGAGTTTCTTTAAGGAGTTAATTTACTGAACTAAGGAGTTGCAACACCATAAAATACATATAAAGGGAATAGGGAAAAAAAAAATCAGTAGCAGTTCTTTCTGTATACCTGACAAAACGATCAGAGATTGAAGCTAGAAAATGTTAAAAGGAAAAAACAAAACCTGTCCGTATTCTAAGCCATAGGATAATTGGAACCATTTACTGTAAATCACAGTGAATTATCTAACATTGGCAAGTCTATAGGTTTTTCTCCTAAATGATCTAATTTTGTAAAAATGAGAATCAATTCTGGAAAATTTTGTAGCCATTGCTACTTTTGTTATTAAATTAAATTACAGTGGCCTCTTCTTTTTCATAATGTGCCCTGACCAATATGAATTGTGCAGCTGCTCAAAAGCATCCAGAGGGAAGAGATGTGTTTTCATTTTCATTTTATTTATTTAAATTCAAATAATCCCTCCAGATTTCACTTGGATTATTTTTTTTTCTTGAAAAATACCCGCCCATATTTTACGAGTAACCCAATAAAAACATTACAAATGAACGCACAGGGTCATTCCTTGCCAAAAACAATCTTTTTTCTTTTTCTTTTTTTTTCACACTACTTCAGTTTGCCTCAGCAGAACCATTGGCCAATCAATTTAGTCACAGAACAGGATCATTTGGGAAGGTTATAAAAGTAAAAGTTTGCTTCAGTGTGCAGGAAAGTGTGAAAAGAATAATGCTGAGGGCTATGGCTTAAATGTTGTTCCTGCTTTTTGTAAAAGTGAAGTTTCTTCAATAGAAGACCTGGATCATGTGCATTAGTAAGTTCTCAGGCAGTGACAGACAGTTTAACATCAGAGTGCTGCAAGGAAGACAAACAAACCCCCAGTATGTTGAAAAAAAAAAAAATTGTTTAGTACAAAATTTTTGTCATTTTTCTTCTCACAGTCTAAGGAAATAAGGAAGTATTTGTAGGAGGTGGCACCATCTGTATTAAATGAAGCTGATATAGGATGAGAAGAGAAAAAACCCCTTCACATATCACATTCACTTCAGGAGGTACTGATTCGGATCTGAAAAAGGTGTTGAAAAGTCTGTCTTTTTTCTAATACTGCTCGTTAATTTACAAGATATTGCATCTCTCAACAAACATTCTTTCTGTAATAACAAAAAAGGCAGTTTTAGTTTTTGTGTTTTAGGCACTTAGCCAGAGGGAGCAGAAAATCCCATGGATTCGTCTCAGACTTCCTTATACAGTTTCTGCCTTCTTTATTTTTCCTACTGTGGCACAGAACACAGTAGGATAAGAAAATCCTACTATAATTATAATTTTCACAGAGAGAAGATCTTCTAGATGCACTTCCTCCAAATACTATGAATAGCAGTGGTGTATTTTAATTATACTCACTTACGTCCATGCTCTGCAAACCTTTTTATCATGCACCCCATCCGTAAAAACTTTGTGAGCAGGCACCCCTCTAATATGTATATATTTTTTTAGAATTATATAAATGTACTACTGTACCAATAGATTATGTACATTATAAAACATATAGAAAAATATAAATTAAAAAATGATGAGATAATAAATATTTCAAAATTAAGTGTGCAAAAAACATCTTCTTCCTGCACTGCATTTTGCAGACCACTACTCTCAGCATGGAACTATTTCAACCTATCGCAATACGTTGTCTCAATGGCCATGATTTTACCTGAATTGGTTCCAGCCTCTCCTCTTTGTTGAGGGGTGAAACTTCTGTTCGTTATCATTCACTGGTCACCTCTGAGCCTGCCTTCAAATGGTTATGGCATAGTAGGGCAGTTTCAGCCAATTTAGTGTGTTTTTTTGGATTGTTTTTTAATTAGGTCTGCAAATCTCTATTCCTTATGTATTTTTGAAGCACAATCATTTAGAAACTACTACACTTTCTTTTACAGCCAAATAAATCTCTTTCCTTCTCAGCATTTATCATCATTAATAATTTACAGACTCACAGCTTATTTTATCGAGATGCCTGTACTTGTATAAATGTGCATATACAAGCTGGAATAAGACCACATTTGAACTATCAGTAAAACAGAGAATGTAAAAGAAAAAAAGGAACCACAAAAAACAAACTCGCACCTCGCTACCTGAAATGCTTCAATTGCAGAAATTTGTAAGGGGGAGGTGGTGTGTGTAACAAGCTAAACCAACAATTCTGCATACTTCCTGTGCTGATGGTTCTGCTGCGCAGCTCTTTTACGGATTTTGTCACAAAAATAGGTGGCTACCTGCCTGCAATACGTGTATGGCAAACACTACAGAACTGTGAACAACAACATGAAATCTTTTCCCTTGCTACTGTTGGAAGCACCTCAGCATTTCCTATGAGGAAGATTTAAGGAATGGTCCAGATACTGCCGTGACAAATTTCACAGGTGCATTTGAGAAAGGCAGGACCATAGTAGACCAATGCTCTTTAAAGCAGAACTGGCCAAATTCGAGGCCATGATCCCAGGAGCTGCTCTGAGTGTCTGGTTACAGAAGCTTTAGGTTCACTCTCAGGTTCAAAACTAATCAGCACCCAGCAGCTGTATTTTTTCAGACCTGTGTCAAGGGCTGGACAAGATGAATATCGCAAATGGAAGAACATACACCCAAGCCAAACCAGTAGCTGTTTTCTTCAGCAGAGAATTTTGTTCAGGAAAAGGGTTTACGTGCATCTGGCAAAGTCTATGAGGAAAAAAATTCTGTGGAAATCTAGAAGAGCGAGGAGAGGATGGAGGCTTTCTCTTGATGATAAAACATCTCACCACATCTCTTGGATCTTTACACGTTACGTGCTGACCTTCCTGGAGAGTGTTATGAGGGGAATTTTGATGTACTCAGTATTTTTGAGAGCTTGGCTCTGCCTCAGGGAAGTGAGCTCTGGGAAGAGTAAGACCCTATGTGATGCCCTCAGTGAATCAATATCACAGACTGTAGGATTCAGCTGATCTTCTACTCTAGTACTAATACAAAGAGAATGCATCTATTTCCCAGGGCTCCTGGGAAGAAAAAGCCTGAAACACATTCCTTGAAGTAGAAATAAGCAAAGATGACACAAAACTCACCTCTGCACTGAATCTATCAAACATAATTTCTGTAAACTGTGAGCTACTCCAGCACTTTCACACAAGTCTTGTCTGGAAACTCGCTATATCTTTTGTAATCTTCAGATGGTGAGAAGATGAATTTTAGCCTGTGCTTTCTTACAGGTTTACACTTACATCTGTCACATACAAATCACAATGTCCTCAACCGAACCCGATTTTAAGAGTTTTATGAATTTTGATCTGCATTTCCTTCTCTCAGCTTTGCCAGGGAAAGAATAAGCTGGCACATAAATCCATGCTGTAGCTGACCTGTGACAAGTCTCACAGACAAAAAGACTTGCAGCAATAGTATCTGCTCACTTTCAGCACCATGGAAGAGACTTTTACTTTGCCTTGAAAATAAGAATTGTCTTTTAGGCAATCAGGTGCAGGAGATTACTCCTAGAATAACAATGAGGCATTTCACAAATCCATAGAATGTTATTTTTACTCTAATTCACAAGTGACTAACTGAAAAGGGTCACTGCCTCCTACTTAGGAA